TTATTGTTCTTTCTGTCCTCTGCTGGGAATTTAATATAACCTAGGGTCACAGTGTTGTGAACACAGACCAACCAACGGATTACGCATAGGCAAGCAATCTTCAATTGAAGATTTTCCTCTCCTCCCATGTGCTCAATTACTCCAAATCCATGTCTTCAAATTGATGGGAAAATGAGACCAGCTCTAAGGTAAGGAAGGAGGAGACGCACTTTGAAAATAAAACAAACAAAATCTGGCTAGGGCTCTGTTATAAAACGTTAACAGAGCTGTTGGGTGTTTCTAGTAAGCACCTAGGTGTCAACCTGTCAAGGTCTTTTTAAAAACAAAGTAAATAAAGAAAACTGATTTAAAAATTAAAGTTGGAGAGGAAATGATTGGCGAATAACATCTTCTTCCCCCAACGAATCTACATATGTGTGCATCCCTGGGCCCAGAGGACTTGCTTTCTGTAGCACAGGAGGAATTGACTGAAGTATCAGGAAACCTGCTTTGTTCAGAGAATTTATGGAGGAAGGTGAGAATATTTAAGACAGGAAGTAAAAGAAAAATCCTACATGCTACTTCTCTTTTGCTGAACACAAGGCAGAGATGGCTCTGGAAAACACTATTGTCTAAAATTAGCTTCTTGGCTCTGATAAAGAAGGAGAGGAGAGAGTAAAGGCAATTATCACCAGATCTAACATCTTCTTGGACTTCTCCAGATGACCCCAGGCTCTCCTTCTTCATCGCTTCCCGCCGCCACACAGCACATCTCGTATGAGCATATCTCATGCAGGACCTATTACACCGTGATTGTACTTAAGAGACTGTGGGATCCAGCTCTGTATCTCCGGCCCACTGCCCATGACTGGCACACAGTAAACTCTCAGTAAATGTCGAATAAAAAATGTGTAAAGTTGGGGCACAAGAGTGGCTCCGTAGATTAAGCATTCGACTTCGGCTCAGGTCATGATCTCACGGTCTGTGGGTTTGAGCCCTGCCTGGGGCTCTGTGCTGACAGTTCAGCTCGGAGCCTGGATCCTGCTTTGGATTCTGTGTCTCCCTCTCTCTCTGACCCTCCCCCGCTCATGCTCTGTTTCTCTCTCTCTCTCAAAAATAAATAAACATAAAAACTTAAAAAAATATGTAAAGTCAACTTAAAGATAAAATTTAAGAGCGGTCAGATAAAGTGCAAATGCAACCATGTCCACAGTAAGCTTGGAAAAGTAGGAGTTCAATTAGATCCAGAGTCTAGGCTGGGTCTTATGGGACAGGAGGGGACAAAGAAGAGGCTCTGGCAACCATGAATCCATCCTCCATGAGGATGCTAATGCCATGTTGGTCAGGTTATGCACAGAGAATTAGAATATGGCCCTGGGGAAAGCCAAAGGTTGACAAATCTTGGTCCGGACTGCTTATTTGAACTTCAGGTACTATTTCTAATTATAGTGGTCTCAAGGCACATGAACCAATGGAAACAATATAGAACTGAAAGTTAAAGAGACGTGGGTTCTCCGCTTAATTCTGTCACAGCATGGATGAACAGGTAAAGATGTGGTATGTTTATACAATGGAGTATTACTCAGCAATCCAAAAGAATGAAATCTTGCCATTTGCAACTACGTGGATGGAACTGGAGGGTATGATGTGAAGTGAAATTAGTCAGTCAGAGAAAGACAAATATCATATGACTTCACTCATACGAGGACTTTAAGAGGCAAAACAGAGGAACATAAGGGAAGGGAAACAAAAATAATATAAAAACAGGGAGGGGGACAGAACAGAAGAGACTCATAAATATGGAGAACAAACTGAGGGTTGCTGGAGGGGGTGTGGGAGGGGGGATGGGCTAAATGGGTAAGGGGCACTAAGGAATCTACTCCTGAAATCATTGTTTCACTATATGCTAACCAATTTAGATGTAAATTAAAAAATAATTAATTTTTTTAAAAAGTTAAAAAAAATGTTGTCATAGCAACCTTGGACAAGACATTTTTCCTCTCGGATCATTAGCTTCCTCCTTGAATATAAAATGAGAGGATGAGACTAGATGAACTTTTAAATCCCCTCCAGGAAAATTCTAGAACTGCACAGTCCCTCTCTCTGTCTAGATTCCATTTTCTTACAAAACTATTTTCTTAACAGTTATGATACAGACGGAATTTGTCTTTTGAAAATAAATAGAGCATCTCAGCTGATGTTAAAAACAATATAGAATCCGAACATCCAAAATGAAAGAAGAAAAACGTGAAGAGTCTCAGAATGGAGGAATTGATCACAGCAGATCGGGTCATGAAAAGGAGATCCCCATTTAACGGTCTCCCAAATCTCCTGAGCATTGCCTGGATCAAAGAAGTTTTGACAAGATTCTTAGGCAATAAGGAAGTTGTCCAGAAGAGGCAAGAATTATCCATCCCATTTCATACAAAGGGAAACTGACATCCAGAAAGGAGAGGTAATTCACTCAAGGTCACTGTGAAGATGAAGTCAGGCCTGACACTCAGGTATCCTGCCTCCCACCCAATTATGTTGCCCAAATCTGTTCAGAAAGAACCCGCCATTGCTTCCAGTGACCGCGAGAATGTGGTGCTGTGACCCAGCGTAACTGGGTACTGTCCTGGCCAACTTGGCTTTCAAAAGCTCTGCTGAAATCACACCTGCTATAGCACCGATCACTAGAGAAAGTGACCACATGAATAACCCAGAGAGACTCTTTAGAAGTTTCCCTACGGTCAACGACACTTCCACTGGCCTTGCGTCAGGAAATCTATCCGGTTTCCATCCCTTCCATCTGTCACCTTAGGCTTTTGTACATCACGTTCCTTCTTTGGGAGTCGAAGAACTTACTAGAGAAACTCATAAAGTGTAAAACGATCCTAGATCACTATGCAGAAACGATGGTTAGAGGAATTTTTGGTATCGGTATCACTCATTATCTAAAGCAATTATTTTTATCTACTTTTTAAATTAAATTTTAAATCTACTTTTCATATATGTTAGAATGTATAGAATAGTGTAATGCAGATACATGCCATTCTTGTAAACATCACACATGTATGTATGTACATATATGTATATTATATATATATATATCTCCTTCAGTCTAGCTGGGAAAATCTGTTTCAAAATCAACTCCTGCTCTCTCCTCGGACTTGATATATAGCCAAGCAGGCCTTTCTCGATTAACACAGCCGCCTCCTGGGAAAAGTCACAGAATAACTTTATTGATTTCCCTTTACCCTTCTCCACATTTCTCTGCTGAAATGTTGTCTTAACTCTTAAATGTAAAAGCAAAAAGAAAAGAAAATTAAAACAAAGAGATTCGCTTCCTTTAGGACCACGTTGATTCTCTTATATTTTTTTCAGATTTTCTAAAAAAGATTTTTTTTGAAGAAGGAGAGAGTACTTGTAAAGACAAGGGAGGATTAGGTTCTCCAAGGTTTTTGTGCAACAGATTTCTTTACATCGAAACCTGTGTTTTGCACACAATGCTGGACTCAATGCTACACAAACCACTTCTCCTCGTCTCTCATGACTTGGCCAGCCAGCTCTGAAAACTGCCAAGGCTTTCTGGCGAACAATCCCTCCAATGTTTCCAGGAGCCTACCCAGTGCATAGGAATATAGCGAACGTTTATTTCTCATCAGATTTTCCTACCTCAAAAGATTCGCAACAAGATTAAGTATCTTATTTAATTAAAAGGATTTTTTGGGGGCGCCTGGGTGGCGCAGTCGGTTAAGCGTCCGACTTCAGCCAGGTCACGATCTCGCGGTCCGGGAGTTCGAGCCCCGCGTCGGGCTCTGGGCTGATGGCTCGGAGCCTGGAGCCTGTTTCCGATTCTGTGTCTCCCTCTCTCTCTGCCCCTCCCCCGTTCATGCTCTGTCTCTCTCTGTCCCAAAAGTAAAAAAAAAAAAAAGTTGAAAAAAAGAATTTTTTTTAGGATTCAGTATTTTAAAAATCAGAAAGTTCGTTAGGAGTTTCTCTGATGGCAGCTTTAGAGAGGTCAAAAGACGAAGCCCTCTCGGCTACCTTTCTGCTTGCACCTCTCACGGTGACCCGGACAGATGAACCCAGAGCCTCATTCTTATTGTCCTTTTGGCTTCGGAAGCGCCCCGTGCCCTCGATTCTGACCATGGGGCTGGAGTGGGGTCAGGGTAGTGGAAGGAAGAGAAGGGAAATACTGGAATGCCTTAGAGTAAAAGCTCTAACAAAACACCGTTTGCATTTCTGTCACTTCCCTCCACCAACTCCACAGATTTAGTTCTATTTGCTCTAAGGCCTGAGTTCATAAAAACCTAGCAGAATTTCTATTTCTTTGGGCTCTCTTTGCCGTCACCCCCAGCTTTTCCTGCAAAGGGGAGGAAGCGGATGGACTTCTTTACAACGTAACTGCGATCTGATTCCTCCCCCACTTTAAGCAAATAAAGATGCCTAGTGAAATGAACGGATTGTGTTCTTTAAAATTGAAAACGCATGTGAACGCATCACCCGTCAGAAACAAGCTTAAGGAAAGTACAGGAAGAAAATGAAAGGCCTGCGAATAAACAAGGTTACAGTGATGTACACTGTTGGGTACAATTTAGTAGAGCAATTATTAACAACATGACAAATATCTGCCTCCAGTGCACAAATAAAAGGCACTCAAAACCACAAAAGGGTAGTGATGTGCTATGCTGTCCTGGGGTTTAATCACAGAGCTTTTGTTTTGTTTTGTGGGTGTGTGTTTTTTTAACAAAATACCATTTCCCACTCCCCCCCCCCCCCTCATTAACTTGGAAGCTTAGTTTTAATTAAATGCCATTTTACTTTTTAGTGGCCAGTTTATCTTTTCTTTTCCATTTGGTTTCTCTGCACAATGTGAATCAGACAGTGATTTGGAAGCGTTATGGGTAAAAGTGGGTAGAAAAGCATGCTAAGAATTGGGTCATCTTGTTGAAATCAAGTTCACTTCTATGTAGTAGAGCAGGAAGAATGGGGGAAAATCTGCCCTAATATCTTGCTGTATCTGTCCCAACTTCCTCCTTTCATAGGGCCTCAGCAGGGGGAATTATGTAGCAATGCAATTTGCATCCTGGTTAAATAGGAAGGTCTCTGGAGCACATTTTCAAGAACACCCCCCCTCGTGGCAGAGGAGCCAAGATTGTACCTTGTAAGAGGAAACACTGTTTCCTTAGGCAATACAATATAGGCTCTTTGTTGAAACTGGCAACTGTGTCCTAGTGACAGGCAAGAGGGTCCCTTCTGCCTCTGGATAAATGGAATAATGGCCAGAAGCTTGTTCTAACCAGGCAGTACAAAGTCACTCTCAGTTTCCAAGATCAAATAGAAAGGTCCCTCCTGGCTTCCTGCAACACCCAAATGGAACACAACGCATCCACCATAATTTTAAGTTACAGTGTAAGAAAGTTCAGAATCAGGGGCGCCTGGGTGGCGCAGTCGGTTAAGCGTCTGACTTCAGCCAGGTCACGATCTTGCGGTCCGTGAGTTCGAGCCCCGTGTCAGGCTTTGGGCTGATGGCTCAGAGCCTGGAGCCTGTTTCCGATTCTCTGTCTCCCTCTCTCTCTGACCCTCCCCCGTTCATGCTCTGTCTCTCCCTGTCCCAAAAATAAATAAACGTTGAAAAATAAAAATAAAAAAAAAAAATAAAGTTCAGAATCAAACACTCATTCATTCATTCATTCATTCAGCAAGTTTCTATAGGGCAGCTCATATAGACTGGGCTCTCCTTACGCACAATGTTAAGTGGAAGAAGAAAGATTACATCCTGCCCTTCTCTTCTTCTCAATTCCTACTATCCTTGGTATTTTCCTTGATTTCAAGTGGCAACTCATCAAAAATCCTCAGCCGATAATAGCTTCCAAGGGTTCACATATTCATTCCAACCTCTTCTAACCTGCCTCCACCTAGAATATCATTTGATCTAGGTTTGTGTGAATAAACATTACTAATTAATACGAAGTCTTGATGATGTCCTCTCAAGTTTGATGCTCAGACTACAAAGAAGCTCCATCTTCTACCTAAAGGTAAGAAATCTCCCCATGTTGATCTCTGACATCTAAACAGCAGGGATACTTTTTTTTAGATTTTTTTTTTCCCCAAATGTGAACAGCCCTGGGAGTATTTGCTTCATTTCTTAGTCAGCAAGAACCTAGAGCTGTGGATGCCTGAGGGAGTCATTCCAACCGAGACTAGAATTTCAAGAGAGAAAATTTATCCAGCTACCTTGTCTGGTGCTTATAATGCATGAAAGTATCAACCTCCCCATGGCAGACTACAGGGAATGATCAGTGTGAAGTAAGTCATCTCCTCAAAGATGTATTGCAATAATTTCCCTGCTGAAACGGCAAGTTCCTGACCATGGTATTGTACACAAATAATAAATAAACAAATGCCATTATGTTGTTGTTTTCCACACTGGGAAGACCTCAGAACATCTTGCTTCGACTGATAGGCTGGAATCGTTGAAAAACTTGCCTCCCCTTCCTAGTTCTTTGGCTAAAGTGTATCGGGAAAATGGTGCATTAGTCATTATTTCTAATTGGGAAAAGCCTGATTATCATGAGAACCCTGGTTAGGTGATTTGTAGAGTACTATTGTGTTGAGAGCCGAGAGACTTAAGGTAGAAGCATCTTAGTTAGCAATAGCAGAGAGGCTATGCGATTGGATCTGGTGTTTCATATATCTACTATCAAGATATATTGAACAAGACGGGCGCCGGGGTGGCTCCTGAGCGTCTGACCTCGGCCCAGGTCACGATCTCACGGTTTGTGAGTTCGAGCCCCACGTCGGGCTCTGTGCTGACAGCTCAGAGCCTGGAGCCTGCTTCTGATTCTGTGTTTCCTTCTCTCTCTCTGCCCCTCCTTGGCTTGCACGCTATCTGTCTCTCTCTCAAAATAAATAAACATTAAACAAATTTTATATATATATATATATATATATATATATATATGAACAAGTATTCAGGGAATACTTGGGTGTTTTTCTAAACTTACAGTAATTCCAACACTCAGTTGGAAGTGGGGGGCACATAATATTCTACTCTGGCAAAATTTAGAGGTAACCTGGGAAAAAAATCCATCAAGTGCCTTGTAGAAAATCAAATGGGCAAAAGCATAATTGAAACCAATAAGATGGATAATGGAATCATTCAGGCTTGGATCTGAAGCCCAGATCTGCCACTTAATAACTCTGTGGACTTGGGCAAAGTACTTCACTTTTTGGAAACTCAGATTCCTGACGTGCAAAATTGGGGATGACTGGATTTTCTATGCCTATTTATTTTGAGGTTAAATGAGATAAGGAATATAAATTGTTTATCACAATGTCCGGCTTATAGTAAGCACTCAACAATGTTAGTTTCCTTATTTCTCTCTCTTTTTTTTTTATTTTTTTTATTTTTTTATTTTTGGGACAGAGAGAAACAGAGCATGAACGGGGGAGGGGCAGAGAGAGAGGGAGACACAGCATCGGAAACAGGCTCCAGGCTCCGAGCCATCAGCCCAGAGCCTGACGCGGGGCTCGAACCCACGGACCGCGAGATCGTGACCTGGCTGAAGTCGGACGCTTAACCGACTGCGCCACCCAGGCGCCCCCTCTCTCTTTTTTGATGCATGCTTTCCTGATTTCCATTTAACCTATTTTGTGCATTTATAGAACACTGACTTTCTATACAGTTTGATTGATTTAATAGTCCAATTTTGATTAAAAATGAGTGAGGGAAGAAACCCTGGGGTGGCTCAGTCAGTTAAGCGTCCAACTTTGGCTCAGGTCATGATCTTGGGGTTCATGAGTTCAAGGCCTTCGTCGGGCTCTGTGTTGACAGCTAAAAGCCTGGAGCCCGCTTCAGATTCTGTGTCTCCCTCTCTCTCTGCCCCTCCTCAGTTCATGCTCTGTCTCTCTCTCCTTCAAAAATAAATAAACTTTTTTTTTTTAAGTGAGTGGGGCAGTGTTCCTTGTTCTTCTATTTTCTGGAAGGGTTTTGTAAGTGTAGTGTTATTTTAGAGGTTAAATTATTCTAAATCTAACACATGGAAGGAATATGAACATGGACTGGTACTTGCCATTTTTGCAAAAGATGCTCCTAATCTACTGAGGAAGTCAGAAACATGCATGTGTAGCTACAAATCAGACCAGGATAAGTGGAACAGGTTGACGAAACATTGGCGGTAGATGGTATCTATTATGTGCCAAGCACCATACAAGGTGCTCAGAGACTCAGAGATAAAGAGGATGCAATCGTGAAACTTTAAGGCCCTTCACTTAGCATAAGAAGAGACATATGGGCACACAGCCGCATAGGAAAGTGGGGAGTACAAGGGCTACTAGATAAAGTAATGGCACGAAGAATGTGAAATCACTTCTGTTGGGAGGGTCAGGGAAAGTTTCAAGAGGAGAAGATATCTAGGGTAGACATATTAAAAATAACGAGGTCAGAACTTCGATAAAATGGACAAATGCCTTAAAAAATACAACTTACTCAAATGGACACCGATGAAACAGAAAATCTAAATGGCCTCGTATCTCTAAGAGCAATTAAATTCATCATCTAAACTTTCCCACAGAGAAAATTCCGGGTCCACGTGGTATGACTGGTGATTCCTATCAAATATCCAAGTAAGAAATAACGCTAATCTTACAAAACTCTTCCAGAAAATAGAAGAACAGGGAATACTTCCCTCACTGATTTTTTTTTTAAATCAAAATTGGGCAAATAAATTATAAGGCAATCACAGACCAATATACCTGATCAACATAAACGCAAAAATCCTTAACAAAATTGTAACAAATCCAATCTTGCAACATATTAAAGAGCATTGTCTCCCACTAGGATTTATTCCAGAAACATAAGATGGATTTATATCTAATAATCAAAGTAATTCATCTTATTAGTAGGATATATGGGAAAAAGCACCATTATTTCCATAGGTGCAGAAAAATCATTTGAAAAAAATTCATATTCTTTTTTTTATTAAAAAACCTCTCATATTAGGAATAAAAAAGGAATTTTTTCAATCTGGTAACACATCCTACAAAAACTTATTATAAACAAAATCCCTAATGCTTAATTATAAAATCATTTCCCCATAATATTGGGAAAAGGCCTGCTCGAATTACTTCTAGTCACCATTTCACTGGACATCTATCTTAGTAATTGTAATAAAGCAAGAAAAAGAAAAGGCATAACTAGAAAAACCAACAGGGCTTTTTTTTTTTTTTTGTAACTGATGTAACTTTTTGTAATTGGTGGGCTCGTTTAAGTAGGAAATCCTAAAATAATCTCTGTAACAATGCCCAGAATAATTGCATTTGGCAAATTATTATCTAGCAAATACAAGATTAACATATCCAAGTCAATTATATTTTTAGGCACTAGCAGCAAATCATTAGAAACGAAGAATTTTAAACCATTTATAACAGCATCATAAAACACAATATTTAGGAGGAAATTTTCCAAAATATGCGTAGAGTGAGTTCAATCGTGACTTCCAAAAGATATGTCTACCTGGAACCTCAGAATGTGACCTAGTTTGGAAAAGGGGCCTTTAAAGATGTAATTACGGTAAAGATCTTGAGATGAGGTCATCCTGCAACAGGCTGTCCCCTAAGTCCAATGACAGAGTCCTTATAAGAGACGGAAAAGGAGACAGCACTGAGACCTAGAAGGAGACGGCCATGTGAAGACATAGGCAGGAAGGTTGGCTGAGGAACACCTAGGAGACTCCAGAAGCTAGGCATAGGACAGACTCTCCCTTCAAGAGTCCAGAAGGGGGGCACCTGGGTGGCTCAGTTGGTTAAGCATCTGACTTTGGCTCAGGTCACGATCTCACGGTTCGTGAGTTCGAGCCCTGCATCGGGCTCTGTGGTTCGTGAGATCGAGCCCTGCATCGGGCTCTGTGGTTCGTGAGATCGAGCCCTGCATCGGGCTCTGTGGTTCGTGAGTTTGAGCCCTGCATCGGGCTCTGTGGTTCGTGAGTTCGAGCCCTGCATCGGGCTCTGTGGTTCGTGAGTTCGAGCCCTGCATCGGGCTCTGTGTGGAAATTAATTCATTCACTGATAAGGGGCGCCTGGGTGGCGCAGTCGGTTAAGCGTCCGACTTCAACCAGGTCACGATCTCACGGTCCGTGAGTTCGAGCCCCGCGTCGGGCTCTGGGCTGATGGCTCAGAGCCTGGAGCCTGTTTCCGATTCTGTGTCTCCCTCTCTCTCTGCCCCTCGCCCGTTCATGCTCTGTCTCTCTCTGTCCCAAAAATAAATAAACGTTGAAAAAAAAAATTAAAAAAAAAAAT